AGTTCAAAGACTAAACTCCCCTTCCAACTGAAGGGGAAAAGAAATAATATAACAACAAGAAAATACAAAGCAGAAGCAAAATGAAGCAAAACATAAAATCGTTAAAAGTAAATGCAAAAAATGTTACATGACGTGTGTTTATTATTCGAAATATTTGAGCTTAACGAATTCAATTTAATTAATTTCGAGATTTCATGGCTAATATGACAGTCTTGGCATCATTCAAAGGTGATACCTGTCAATCTATTTTTCTTGGACGGAATGGATTCTCAAACTCCAAGAAGTAAATCGGTTTGTGTGTTCACTGTATTTTCAGTCAGCAGGTAAAAGAGCATTTAACCGCGAACATACATTAAATGATGTAAACTGTGCGCCTACTCTTGAAAGTGGAAAAACTTTCAACAAAATAAGTAGCAACTGATTCAAAAGTGGTTTCTATAGTTCTACCAACCTGACAAACATAAAACTGACGAAGACGCACCAGCCACATACATATAAGCGCCCTGTTGAAACCGTGCAAGCTCGACTGAACCCCATGATTAAGCACGTGCGCCTTGTCTTCACGTCAAATATATAGTTGTTTCTGTCCAGTAATCGTTACCTGGCCATGGGGCATATCTGTCTGTTTGAAGTAACATCGTAACCATCAATTTTACTAGGTTAGGTTAGCGAAATTTTATCTTTTTTGTATAAACGTGGACAGAGCAAGAACCAACAAAGATGATGGCGAATAACTGAACATGAGATGAATAATTAATTATCAGCATTAGCACGTGCATTTTGAATAATTTGCAATGGAAATTATTGACAGCGAGTAGTGTAGTTTAGCGCAATTTGATGCAATTTGGTTGGGAGTAATAATGTCAGAAAAGAAGATTTTTACAGGAAGATGATGGCAAACTGGAGAAATATGTTATAGAAAATTAAATAGAGATCGACCAGTCCATTTAGAATTCAGAGTTCTACGCGCCTGGTCGGGTTCACGCAAGCGGGACTTCTTTATGTGATATGATTGGAAGAAAAACGACTGATGACATGACTTTTCTGTACGATACTTTCTTCTTTACACTGTTCTTAGCAGGAACACGGCCATAATGTATACCGTTTGCTTTTAAAATTGCATGATTAATGAGAAATTATTAAATCATCTTCTCTGGCGACTTTGCTCATCGACTTTGCTCCCGCCGCAACGCATACGAGCCTGCTCGTATGCTGTACATTGAGTTGTTCAGTTAGTAAAACAACCACAGGCACATGAACTAGCTAGGACCACAATTCTTCATTCCTCGTACTGGCCACKCTCAAAAATTTTTACTTGCATTGATTGTCACCCATCCATCTTCACAGAAATATGACTTTCCCAGTCATAGGACAAGATAGGCCTTCCTACAAATGTCCGGATATTTTTTTGTGATATTCAGAAGTTTCCGAGATATTTAGAAAATATTATTAAAGATATGTAGAGAATTTAGGGACATTTCAGGAAACATTCATAGCTTTCTTGGCTGAGCCTTGTGTTTTCCTCGCTATTTTCTCGAAACAATACTCAATTCAAAGTCAGAAATAACCCAGTTCAGCGATTTTCCACCTGAAAATGTATTCCAATAATGTAATATCAATAAAGCCGCAATTTTCCAAATGTCGGACGCTGGTAACATAGAAGTAAACTGTAATGCAAGGACCACTTGTACAAACAGCAGCGGGGTGAAGCCGGATCTTGGTTTAGATCAGGAACAGCAGTGTAAAATAAAGCATAAAACCAATTAAAAAGGCTGATCGGACGGCTGAAAAGGGTAAATTTAATGCCCAATATTTCGGTTAGACAGGACTAACCTTCTCCAGTGGCTACACTGCAGCTTCAGTGTAGCCCCTGCAGAGGGTTAGTCCTTTCTAACCGAAATATTGGGCATTAAATTTACCCTTTTCAGCCGTCCGGTCAGCCTTTCAATTGGTTTTATA